GAGGAAAGGATACGCAGCACTGTCCATCCTCAGAGGCTCCAGACTTCAAAATCAAACGCAAAAAAGAAGAGTGAGAATGACAGCAAACAAAGGCTTTGATAATCATCACTGGCTATACTTCGTTATCTTTAATTAGACGGACTCACATAACAGACTCCCAGTTGTTCTTTCCAAACTGAGAAAAAAGAGACTTGTCCTTGTCATAGTTCACCTAAGAAGAAAACAAATACTTTGATTAAACTCTTGTTTTATTTTACAAATAAAACTGATCAACAGAATAATTTCTGCAGAAGAGATCAGTTGTGGAGTTACCTCTTTCAGAGCGTTTTGGACCAGGCTGTGCAGCAACGGGCTGGCTGCTACTTTAAACCCATTCTGACCTAGAATAACAAGACCACTAATATTTAGTTATCCTGAAACATAAGTGATGCTTTTTGCATGTGTATGTAAAAGTTTGACATTAAATAGCTTCATGGGTACAAGACGTCTGCATCCATGGCAGCAAATACCTGTCACAATGCCGTCCAGGTTGATGTAGGTGAATGCTTTCATGCTCAGAGAGGACAGATAACCCTGGAGCAAAGAAATATCCAATATATGAATGAGACACAATCACTAATAATTATCCTCCTCAGAAAAAGTCTACATCTTTTGACTTATTTGAGCTATCCTAAAAAAAATCCTGATGTACGAAGTAGAAAACATCCTGGGCTTTCCATCAATATCTCATGCATTTGGGGGTCTCTTTTAGCACCAAAGACGAAGGAAATCACAAAAAAGTTCAATGAGAACTCGGCGTCTTAGGTTTCACAAGGTTTTTACTGAGTAAAAGAAAATTGCAGCTAATCTAAACCTTTGCCATGCACTTCTTACCTCCAACCACTCGGTGGCGCCAACACTCCCATACTCTCCCGCACTCCAGCTCGCAAACACAATACTCCTCCTCGGTTTGAATCCACCTATCAAAGTGGAAACACAATTAATCAAACTCATGAAGCCAGCACGTTCTTTAGCTGCTCAGTATCTGACGTTATTTGGAAATTAAAAACCAAACATCAGCTGCCAACAGGTGCTCACCGTTCTCCACCATGTCAGAGATGGAACGTGCCAGCTCAACGAGGACGCTGGTGCCCACGGTTGATGCTGCAAAGCCCGGGCCCCACGCATCCCTCTGGGCCCCAATGATCACGTATCGATCTGCAGACGGTCACAGGACATTCATCACTCACATCGTTTCCATATTTCCTGATCACAGGATCTCTCTCATTATTCATCTTTGCTGTACCTGCATCCACAAA